GAGAGAGAGAGAGAGGAAAGCTTTCATGTACTAATTTGCATTGTGTGCCTCTCTCTACTTTTAGGGCCATGAGAACCCAAAACTGCTGCTTGCTAAGGCAAGGCGCAGGCGCCTATGGAGTCGAGCCCAAACTGGTTTAGATGGTAGGCAATGTTGGTTGGGTTGATATCAGAATGATTGAAGGCGGATGAAGGAGAAGACACCGAGGAGGATGAAGTGAAGTGGGCAACGTGGGACAGCAGGTCTGCTGTGCATGTGGAGGCCACAGAGGGCGAGCAGATAGATGGCCACTCGAGCCAGCGGCGTTCAAGGGCTTCTCTTGACGAGTGTCGGGAACAACCTTGGAATCCATCGTTGGAAGCACATGGGCGCCCGTGGCCTCTGTCCCTCCCCCACCCTGCCCACCTCCATCTCTCATTTTTACAGCCAAACGCACTTTTCTTGCCGATTGAATATGTTCTCCTCTTTCATGTGTGTGTGTGTGTGTTAGATCTCAACACCAACCTTGATGTCCATCCTCCACTAACATCATGCTGTAATGCATTGTTTTCTGACAGTATGTGGGACTGATCCAAATGCTCACAAACTTCCATCAATACATGATTCGACAAAGAATAATGTGTATAATTTTACTATTTTCAATCTTAGTATAGCGTTGAGAAATATATTTTGTGAAAACAATTACTGAAAGAACAAAAAAAAAGGTAAATAAAAACTTAACCAGCATTCCGATACATGTCAACTTGTTAGCCATACAGCTCTCTTACTCACACAAGTGTAATATTTTGCTCAAAAGAGGGGGTGGAAACTGGCAAAGTGTGACAGAGGGCAATAATACGATCTGCATCCATGTGGATGTGCCCCACATTAAAGAGCTTGGAGCTGAAGAACCCGAGGGAAAGAGATGTAGACGAGGATGCTGTGGATACAGTGGTCTCTTCTTGCAGGATGACAGCTACGGAAGGAAAGAACATGGGTGGGGTTGGGTTCATCCATGTAGGAGAAGGAGGTGCATCAAATAATTAATTTGATGAACGATTGAGATGTCTGATTTGATCGAGGTCGATGGTTCTGTAGGAACCCTTGATGAGGCCTCCCGGTGTTCCAACAATGTTCATGGTGCTTTTACTTTGTGCTTTTGGATCCAAGTAGTTCTGTTGATTGATCCCATCAGGGCCAAGAGTGTTGCCACTTTCAGTGCAAGTGCTGCTGTGGGAGCTGCCCTTTCTTCGTTTTCTTTTATATCCGTTCATATGGACACCTGTCTGCCCCATCCAAGCTATAAATAGGAGCACATCTCCATCTATTGCCACTGCAAGCTCCCAACGCATCTCCTTGCTCTTCTTCTTCCTCTGTGGATCTCTAGATCTGGGAAGCGCAGAGGCCATGGCTAAGCTTGTTGTCCTTGTGGCCATTGCTCTCCTGGCCATTTCCATAGCTGACTCCGGTTCAAAGGTGAGAGCTAAAGCCACTGACGGTAACAATCTTCTTCCTCTTGCTCTTTCGAGACCAATTAGTCTGATCCAGACAAGAATACCTTTTCGTAACTTCTCATTTTTTCCCTGTTGCAGGTGCTAGCCAAAGCAACCGAGCATTCTGAAGAGGAGTACATGCCGGTATAATTTTTTAGTGCATCTTTCTGCTTCATATAGTTTTCTGAGCTACTTTCTCCGGTACTTGACAAATTTTTGTAGCAATAGATTTCCTTATTTTCTTATTGTTATCCACCTTCTTTTCAGGCTTCAAATGGACAAGGAACCCTTCGAACTTATCGTGAGTTGCTCATTTTCCTTTCCAATCCGTCGTGTCTCACAAAATATGTTGAATGATCTGATCATATATAAGCAGTGAAACCTATTAGAATCTTCGAACAGCAAAAGAAAGATCTCTAAGAGACAACATTTAAGGACGACATGTGAATTCATAGACACAAAAAGAAGGCTAGTTGTTTAACCTTTGTGTTAAATTCGTTTGAACAGAGTGCCCATCTCAATGCACGAGGAGGTGCTCCAGGACGCAGTATCACAAGCCATGCATGTTCTTCTGCCAGAAGTGCTGCATGAAGTGCCTCTGCGTGCCATCAGGTTTCTATGGCAACAAAGGAGAATGTCCCTGCTACAACAACTGGAAGACCAAGAGAGGAGGACCCAAATGCCCATGAACTGAATCAACTACCGCTTCTCCAACCTATTTATATTGTTAGAGCATTCCATTCCAACTAATGAATGTTCTCTGGTTTTACTATGAGCTGTCCACCAACCTCAATATCGTTGCCGAGTTTATAAGAGGCAACACAGAATATGTATGAAGCAGCAGTATTTATGATTTTTCATTTGCACTCGTTATTAACCGATAACGATCTTATATAAGACATCTACCAAAATGATCTGTTGTTGTTCTAATGAAAACAAACTACGAAGCCTATAATCCAGTCTTGTGCTACCTTAGACAACGTGGAGTAGGATCTAAGTCAAAAAGGAGCTTACAGTTAAGGCTCAAATTAAATTTAGATAACTCGTAATGATGGTACCTTATATCAAAAGCTTCAGAGCTTCAGCAAAAAAAATGCAAGCAGAACTTCTCATGGAGAAAGCAGCAGGTCTCTTGTGACCCTTGTAGTGGTATATCGACCGGTGGGCCAACTCCGGAGTTCATCTGCAAGCCATAACGAAGGCGTCAAAGCAAACTCATACAAAACTCTTCTCTTGCTTGGGATTGAAATTGTTGTCACAAGTTACTTATGATAAAGAAATCAATCCCATGAAGGATGCAATCAAACCATGGTGGGTAGGGAATAATAAACACTAAAATTTCAAAGTTCAGCAGGCCAGCATTCAGGAATCTGCTCTAAAGATATTACTCTTTGGGTTTGAGGTCAAGATCTGTCAACTTATCCACTTTGCTCGAGGACCAAGACGAAATAACTCATGCAAGTGTAATTTGTGACCTTTCACCAGACCTTCTGAGTCCAACTGCAGCCATAAATACTTTTGTTCCAGCACGTTGGTAAAGATCCAACAACCAAATTAAATGGCACTAGGATACACAGAATAGCATGCTGTTGAATTGCTTGCAAGAATAAACCACCTAGGCTACTGTGCTGAGGCATCTGTTCACCAAATCATCATCTATTCCATGCTTCAAATTTAGGAGCTCAGTTCAAATAGCATTTCCCAATAGTTATCGACAAAATAACAGTATAAAGATATAACACTGGGCACTTGGTTTGGTTAGAAAATACTACAGCAGTACTTCAGAGCCTAATCTCTAAGGTGTACTACTCTGTGAAGGATGTTCTTCTACCATTGGACGTGAAAATATGATCTTCTTGTGTCCTTGAAAGAAGCTAAAGATCAGATGTCCATTCTGCAATCTATTTTGCAAGTTGCTATTTGACTTGTTGATCTTGTGTGGTTTGCTCGATGATAGCTTGCAAGGAAAAAAGTCTCTCATTGATATCAGTCTGTGCGACTAGTAGAAAAATCTCTCCTATAAGCAGTAGAGATAAGCTAACCACATCATTAGCTATGCCAATAATTTCTCAGGGTAGATAGCAAAGTGAATTTAGTGCTCTGCCACCAGTTTTCTAATGCACTTTGCTCCCCAGGCCAGCTATGTTAACCACAAAGAGTGATGATGCTCTTCACCAGTAATCCCCACAGGAACACTCCCCATCACTAAAATGATGAAACCTATGTGAGTCTCTCATGACTATCTTCCTCTTTGTGACCTTTGAGATAAATTTGGTAGCAGTATGACAATCTCCACAAACCCTCAGGTTCTTGTGGATCCGAATGGTACTTTCAGGCCCCGTGTTAATAAGCCCAAAAACAATAGCAAGTTTCTCACTGTGCATATACAACGACTTAACTTTCGTCTCTTCCTCCACATCATGCAATGCAAAGTTGGTATTTGGCACATATCCTGCCTCTTTAATCCTGTCCATCAATCTCTCGAGTTCCCTATACATCAAATCTGATTGAGGGTTGGAACAGTCCCCAACTAAAAACTTGTATAGCTTGTTGTTCAATTCTATGACAGTGTAACCAGCTATCTTTTTCACCCCTCTCTTTCTCATGAGAACTCTAATGCTATGGGCTTCTTCAATCTTCCCCAAAGAAGTGTAGATATTTGACAATAGAATGTAACGGCCTGAATTCTGAGGGTCCAATTCAAACAGTGAGGTTGCAGCCAATTCTGTGATCTTTGCATCTGGATGAATCCTGCAAGCACCAAGCAAGGATCCCCACACGCTAGAATCTGGTTTTATGGGCATTTTCTCAATGAATTCTCTAGCTTTTTCAAGCTGTCCTGCTCGTCCCAGCAGATCAACCATGCATGCATAATGCTCAGCACGAGCAACAATCCCGAACTCCGTGGTCATAGAATTAAAGCACTGCCAACCTTCAACAATTAAGCCGGCATGGCTGCAAGCAGAGAGCACAGAGACAAACGTAATGTGGTCTGGTTTCATCAAGCACTTCATGCGGTTAAATAGTTCAAGCGCCTCCACTCCCCTCCCATGCATTCCATACCCAGATATCATAGTGCTCCAGGTCACCAAATTCTTCTCTCGCATCTGATCAAATATTCTACGAGCACTGCTTAGACTCCCACGTCTCACATAGCTATCGATTACAGCTGTTTCGACCATTAAATCCTCAATCAGTAAGCTCCTAATTGCAAAGCCATGAATAAGCCGTGCATGCCTTAGAGATGCTACTGCTGAATTGGAACAACCACAAGTGACACCGAGAAGTGTCACCCGGTCTGGCACAATCTCAAGTAACTTCATGTTTCGAAATAGCTTCATGGCTTCCTCGAACATATCTGCCCGTGCATAAGCCTCAATCATCGAACTCCAAGATGCCAAATCCTTCTCAGCAATCCCATCGAACAATTTCCGTGCTTGTTCAATCTTTCCACACCTTGAGTACATGCCCATGATTGCATTCTGGACAATCACTTCTGATTCCAGATGGTACCTGATGATCAGCTTATGCAAGTCGTCAGCATCATGACACCTGATAACACATGGCATCACTGTCAAGAATGTCGCTCTGTTGGGCCTAACTCGCTCCTCCAGCATTCGACGGAACAATGCAAGCGCGTCCTCTGGATGCCCATTTTGAGCGAAGGCTCCAATCATCGCAGTCCAAGTGACCACGCTTCTATCGGGCATTTCATCAAACAACCTCTTCGCAGTGTCCAAAGCGCCACTTTTGCCGTACATGGAAATGAGGGAGTTGCGGACGAAAACATCGGAGTCGTAGCCGAGCTCCGCGGCGTCGTCATGGACCTTGACGCCTTCCTCGAAGTCACCGAGGTAGGAACAGGCCTTGAGAACGGGAGGAAAGGTAAAATTATTGGGCTGAGCGCCACCGCGAGGCTCTCGCATCTGGCGGTAGAGAGCGAGAGCGCGATCGTGGGCTCCGGATTCGACAAGACCGCGGACGAGGAGGTTCCAGAAAAAGGTATCGGCGGCCGGGAGGAGGGAAGGATCGGCAGCAGCCGGCGAGAGGAGGGAGAGGCCAGCCCGCGGGAGGCCAAGTTGGGAGTAGCGGCAAGCAAGGGCGACGGAGAGGACAAGGTCGTCGAGGTGGTGGCGGAGGACGGCGGCGTGAAGGGGCTTCAAGACTCGGAGCGAAGCGGAGCTCCTGACGGCTGTGGCAAATGAGCTGGGCTCCGGCGGCAGCGGGAGCGACGGTGGTCGGTCCGCGTTGGAGCGCCATTGGTGGAGAGCGCGAAAAACGGTGCTCCGTGGGAACATGGTGACTTACCGTGGTCTGAAACACGAATCCTTAACATGAGAAGAGTAATATCACGCGATATGCACGTGGAAGGTTGAGCCGATCAAAATGCCCTGGAACTGACATTAATATA